TATATATATATATATATATATGTTAAATATGAGAAGTTGAAAAAAAAAGGAAAAGAAAGACATGTGAGAAGTTGAAGTATCGACAGATATTCACCACTTCCTCTGACCGCTGCACTACAGAGGTCTAAACCGTGTTTCAGCTTAGGCACACAAAAAAACTGCCTTTCTGAAAATGTTTTTACGAAATCATAATACATGTTGAAACATATCCAGAAAAATTAGAAAATACAGGTAAGCACAAAGAAAGAAATCTTAATTACCTATAATTCTAAAATTATAATTCTAAAATTATAGAAAATTATAGAAACAGCTTGATACCTAAAACAACTTCTAAAATGTGTATATGATACAGAAGTTATTGGTCTAGTCCCTTTACAAATTATAAAGATTACTTAAGGATTTAAAGTTGCACATAATTCTATGTGAACACAAGCTTAGATAGTTCAAATGTAAAAACTACATAACGGAAATCCCTCTTCCCTGAGAAAAAATTAACTCCGGGAAAAAAAAAATTGTGTGGTGAAAAAAACCAGAAAGGTTCACAAAGTTGAAGGGAAAAAATATTTAATTAACTATTTGAGAATTATTTTTTTGAGTTTTAGTCTTTCCAAAGCAAATAAGAGGGAATCCACTTATATCAGGCTTTAAAAAAAAAAAATCATACTTTACCTTTGAGATTGCTAGAATGTGTAACCAACTCTCCCCAATACACTCACCCCTAAAGAAAAAGAAAAAGAAAGGAGTAAAGTGAATGTCTTACCACCAGGAACGTATCTACTTTCCCTCTTAAACTTTCTACAAACATTAGGGGTGATTTTTCCAAATAAACTAATTAAACTAAAGCACATTACATTTAAACTGTAGTAAATTTTGCATTGTTAGGTGGACCAACAAAAAGTTGGAACATATTGTCACAATTTTCAGAATGCTATTATCAGGCATCATCACCTCGTATGGTGGTAAGTGCTGTGTGCCATCACCGGAGAGCAGCTCACAAACGCTCAGTGCAGCCAGATGGTAAAGTGGGAAGTGACGGCACTGTGACAGTGGCCAAGAAGGTACCAGAAGAGTAGGGCTTGTTTTAAAGTTTTGGATGCGGTACCAAGGTAGAAAAGAGTGAAAGTAGATTGGGTGGTAGGGAGCACCAAAAGATATTAATTACTGAGTCAAAGCCTGATGCTTTTCCTATATTATTACTAGATTTAGTCCTATGTGATAGGCATCTACCACCTCCATTTTACAGATGAGGAAACAGGTTCAGAAAAGCCAAATAACTTACTGCCTGATCATTCAGCTATTACACAGCAGAGAATGGATTCAAACCTGGATTTGACTACAAAGCCCATCCTCTTTTCACTTCCCCATGCTGCCTCTCTAGTTCTTCTTAGCATACTTCAGCTTCATTGCAGTGAGCAATTCACTGTCATGTGCTCTAGGAAGGGTGGCAATCCAACTGAGGCAAATGATCCATCCCCAACTGTCCCACAATAAACTTCTGGTTATACTGGAGAGAGAAGCTGGGTAGCCCAGGTTTTTCAGCCTTTCTTCATCCCTAGCTACCTTTATCATCTTTTCTCCCATTTTTCCCTTTCACAGACTCAACACACTAGTCCCCCAAAAAGACCTGGATGTTCTTGCATGCAATATAAAAATTTCTCTGTCCTTGTCTTTCTTCAAGTTGTTCCCTCCACTCCACTTGGAGCTCTTCTCCAATATCCCTACAGCCAATTACATCTACGATTCAAGGTTCAATTCAAATGCCATCTCCTCCACACAGCATTCCCTGATCTCCCACATTCTCCCATTCAGAAGTAGTATCTCCAGTATTCTTGACCCTTACAGGTACCTCTATTAAGAAATCATGACTTTGGGCGGGCCCGGTGGCGCACTGCTATAGTGTGCCGCTTGGGAAGCGCGGCGGCGCTCCCGCCGAGGGGTCGGATCCCACATACAGGCCGGTTCCCGCTCACTGGCTGAGCGAGGCGCGGAGGCAACACCGAGGGTTGCGATCCTGTTGCCGGTCCCGGGCCGGTGCGGGGGCGACACTGAGGGTTGCGATCCGTTGCCGGACACGGAAAAAGACAAAAAGGAAAAAAAAAAAAAAAGAAATCATGACTTGGGGCGGGCCCGGTGGCGCGCTGCTATAGTGTGCGGCTTGGGAAGCGCGGCGGCGCTCCCGCCGAGGGGTCGGATCCCACATACAGGCCGGTTCCCGCTCACTGGCTGAGCGAGGCGCGGAGGCAACACCGAGGGTTGCGATCCTGTTGCCGGTCCCGGGCCGGTGCGGGGGCGACACTGAGGGTTGCGATCCGTTGCCGGACACGGAAAAAGACAAAAAGGAAAAAAAAAAAAAAAGAAATCATGACTTGGGGCGGGCCCGGTGGCGCGCTGCTATAGTGTGCGGCTTGGGAAGCGCGGCGGCGCTCCCGCCGAGGGGTCGGATCCCACATACAGGCCGGTTCCCGCTCACTGGCTGAGCGAGGCGCGGAGGCAACACCGAGGGTTGCGATCCTGTTGCCGGTCCCGGGCCGGTGCGGGGGCGACACTGAGGGTTGCGATCCGTTGCCGGACACGGAAAAAGACAAAAAGGAAAAAAAAAAAAAAAAAGAAATCATGACTTTAAGTAAAAAAAATTACCACTCCACGGATTACTTAATTACAAAGGAAAAAAGGAGCCTTTACAATAGAAATCTAGCGGACACTACCCTAACCAAATGATCAAATTTATATCAATAATGAAACTGGCATCACATACCTCTTATGTGATACCTGAGAGAGACCTAAAAGCATTCCAGCCAAAAATGTTTAATCTGAATCTGACTGAAGGAACGTTCACACAAATCCAAATTGAGGGGCATTCTACAAAACAACTAGTCGTGTTGCTTTAAAATGTCTGAGGAACCCAAAAAAGGCTGAAAAATCATTCCAGATTCAAGGAGTCAACTACATACAATGCAAGATCCTTAACTGGATCATGGATCAAAAAAACAAAAACAAAACTGCTAAGGACAGTATTGGGTTGAGAGGAGAAAGGGACTATGCATTAAAAAATAATATAATATCCATGTTAAATATCATGAGTGTGACAACTGAATTGTAGATATGCAGAAGTCCTTGTTCTTGGGAAATACATGCTAAAGTATTTGGGGGTAAAGAGTCCTGATAGTATCTATACGTAACTTGTAAACAGTTCAGCAAAAAATGTGTCTTCTCTGCATAAAGCAAACATGGTGAATGTTAACAATTAGTGAATCTAGGTGAAGGGTATAGGGATATTGTTGTACTACTCTTCTGCAGGTTTACAATTTTTCAAAGGGTTGGGAAACAATATTTAAAAGTTATGAATTCAGAAAATCCAAACCAACAACAGAAAATGGGGGGGGGGGTAAAGTTGCAAGGAATAATTTAGCACTTATATTCAGCCTCCTAGAATTAACTTCTAGTCTTAAAAAAAAAAAAAAATACAGAAATCATCCCCTTTGCTACCATTGTGAAATTAGGGGGTAGGATATGCCCATTTTCAACTTTACCTGTAAAATTATGCGGTAGGGTATGTCTAATTTCAACTTTACTAAGTACTGCAAATATTGTCTCCAAAGGTAGCTGTACCAATTTACACTCCACCCGCAGTTTCTAAAATTACCACTTTGCCACATCTTCACTGATACTGATATTGTCAGACATTAAAATTTCTTCAGTTGGATGTGAAAAATTCTGTATCACTTATTTCAATTTGCATTTCCTTGGTTATTAATCAATTACACTGATTGTAATTCAATGCTAATACTAGCACCATTATCCCTTCTAGATCTGTTTTTCTTTTTGACAGAGACAAATCTGTGGCCCTCCACACATTGAATGAGAGTAATTAAGAAATAAACCAACATGGGCCGGCCCGTGGCTCACTCGGGAGAGTGTGGTGCTGATAACACCAAGGCCCCGGGTTCGGATCCCACATAGGGATGGCCGGTTCGCTCACTGGGTGAGCATGGTGTTGACAACACCAAGTCAAGGGGTAAGATCCCCTTACCGGTCATCTTTTAAAAAGAAAGAAAGAAATAAACCAACCAACCAGTAAAAAAAAAAAAAAAAAAACCTCGCATAGCAAGAACTTCACCTACAGACCCCTCCTTTTATTACATCATCATAGAAAGTTAAGTATAATCAAAACCTACATGGCAGCACGTACTTAGAATGATTAGTCCCCAGGGCCGGCCCAGTGGCGCACTGGATAGTGCGCTGCTTGGGAAGCGCGGCGGCGCTCCCGCCCAAGGGTTCGGATCCCACATACAGACCGGTTCCCGCTCACTGGCTGAGCGAGGTGCGGGAGCGACACCAAGGGTTGCGATCCCGTTGCCGGTCCCCGGTCCGGTACGGGGGCAACACTGAGGGTTGCGATCCGTTGCCGGTCACGAAAAAAGACAAAAAGACAAAAAAAAAAATCGGGATTAGTCCCCAAATGAAACCAAATGCTCACAAAAGCACCACACAGGTTTGGGAAATAATTTTCTGTCTTTTAAAATATATAAGACGAAGGGCCAGCCCCGTGGCTCACTCGGGAGAGTGCGGCGCTGGCAGCGCGGCAGCGCTCCCACCGCGGGTTCGGATCCCATATAGGACTGGCCGCTGCGCTCACTGGCTGAGCAGCGGTGCTGGGCGACACCAAGCCAAGGGCTGTGATCCCCTTACCGGTCACAAAAAAGAAAAAAAAAAAAAAGGCAATAAAGAAGCAAAACATTTAAAAAATAAAATAAAAAATAAAAAATATAAGACGAAAAGGTTCAAATTCAACTTATTATGCATATGAGGGTACTTCAAAAATTCTGTGGAAAAATAGATTTAAAAGATAATACAGCGCCAGCCCGTGGCTCACTTGGGAGAGTGTGGTGCTGATAAAACCAAGGCCATGGGTTTGGATCCCAGATAGGGATGGCCAGTTAGCTCACTTCGGAGACTGTAGTGCTGACAACACCAAGTCAAGAGTTAAGATCTCCTTACCGGTCATCTTTTTTTAAAAAAAAAGATAATACAAATCTTTCCATGAACTTTTTTGAAGTACCCTGGTAATACTATTTGTAAGATTTTTTAAATGGATGTACTTTATTCCTAGAAATAAAAAGCCTAGCTCCTATAAATTAACTCATTCATTTATTTATTCAGCAAATATTTACTGAGCACCTATTACGTGCCAGCTCCTATTCTGGTGCAGCCATGAAGACATAGTTCCTGTCGTCAAAGAGGTGACATTCGAGTAGGGAAGAAAAAGATTAAAATACTCAGTAAAAATACAAATAACATAACACTAGATAGACAATATGCTATAAAGAAAATAAAGGGGCAGGGGACAAAGGATGATAAAGGCAGCAGTGTAAGGTCACACAAAGTGACATGAAAGACCTATTCGAGGCAGTGACTTGTAATATGGTGTGTTCAATTCAGCATAAACTTTCAGTTCCAATCATCTGTTTCATAAAGTAGTTTTCTTCATCTTTTCATAGTCCCCCTTTATTTTTCCAGAAAATAAGTACATTGCAGTGGTTTTCTACTACTGCTATTTTAGAGGAGAAAAAAAATCTTACACAAGATGTTGACAGGTGCAAATTTCAAGCCACATACACAAGGGCACTTCAAAAAGTTCATGGAAAATAGAATTAAAAGATAATAAGAATCTTTCCATGAACTTTTTGAAATACTCTCGTATTATGAAAAAATTAGGCGTGATTTGTCAGTGAGAAGACTAATGCCAAAATGAAGCTGAACTACACGAATCTGAAATGGAATTTCAATAAAAAAACTTACAAACCTCCAACTCTATAATCTGTATGCTTACTTTCTATCATATATGAAAAGAATGATAATAGCAATAGGAAAATATATTTGAAGAGAGATTCTGCTGTTTTTTACTTAAAGATATAAAAATTAGGATACTCCCCTCTTTAAAAGCCACACCATCTACATGATTTAAAGAAAACCAGTGAACACTAAAATTTCCTTTCACAGGTTTACACAAGAGGTTGGCAGGCTTCAAACCCTTGGAACTAGGGAGGTGCCTTAATACAAAAATCCAAGGGCCAAAATATTCACTTGCCTTTCTTCCTCAGATTATTATGCTGATTCCTCAGTACCCTGAATAAAATATCTTTGGTCTATTCTATCTTTCAAAACTACTACTCTGATCTCATCCAAATCTTTTACCTCCCTGATTAAAAAATTCTCTTTCGTCTACACTATCATCCTGTCTGTCTTTTCTTTCTTACCTAATGAGTCAAATACTCTTCCAGGCAGACTTATAGATCCCCAAAAATTTATTTCAAGAGTTCTTAATCTTTTTGTGCTGTGAACCTCTTTGACAGTCTGGTGAAGATGATGGTCCCCTTCTCAGATGGCTTTTTATTTATTTATTTATTGGTGGCTGTCAAGTTAGGGGATCCAAACCCTTCACCTTAGTGTTATCAATCAGATTGCTTTCAAACAAATAATTTAAACATGCGATTACAAAGGAAACCAATTATGCTGAAATATTAGCAAAATGATTTAAAAAACTGATAAAGTAATACATGTGCAGCTTTATTATCACATTAAATAACAAGAAATAACAGCAGAAGGTCTAATAACACCATAAATTCAGAGAAGTGATAAGCAGAAATGTTATTAGGAGATATCTGCAACAACTGTAAACATGACACAAAAATATCTGTAATTTTTAGTGGTGACGAAGTCACAGGCATTGCTAATTGTACTGTGGTTTTTGTTGCCTACATTAGTAAAGGAAGCAAATAATAAATTTCAGATAGCGGTTAATAAAAATAAAGAATTTTATCCCCACTTTAGTTCTAAAACCCTTTGAATTCTATCCACATTCTATCCACTGGTGAACCCCACGATAACAACCCTTTCTAGTTCAAAGCCCTTCTCAAACTGATTTTTGCCACAAATTTTAAAATAAAAACACTTACTCCTCCCTTGACCTAGCTCTTTTCTGAACGTATCACCATGTCTCCCTGTTTTTAATGCAGCTTTATACACACAACGCTGTTTATTTCTGTGGTTTGCCCTGCCAGCACCCACTGCAATTTTGCCAGTCAATAAAAGATAAAGTTGAAGTTAAGGGGATAGAAAAAATCAACAGGCTCTCACTGCCAGACCTCCGACAGCAGGTGGAAAGATGCCAAGCAGTGTATGTGTTTGTGGCAGGTGGCTGTCCCCAGACCCGCGTGTCCAGTTTGTCAGGATTCCCCGAAGCACGACATCTTCATCGGCCGCATACAGAAGACACCCCGCCTCCGTCTCGCTTTCTGCCCCCAGCTGCCTAACTGCCGGCTCGCTGGCCGCCGGTCCCAGCCGCAGCAGCCCCGCGGTCCTCTTCTCCCTCCCCATCCCATCCCCCACGCGTCCCTCGCTCTCGTCTGCCCCGGGCCGTCGCGGCCCCTGCGCGCCGTCCATCTCTCCCCTAAGCCTAACCGTGTGTCCCCCACCGCACCAGGCCCGACACGGGAGCGGGGGGCCCCGGGCCCCGGGGTCAGCTGGAGCCGGCGGCCCGGCCGTCAGGCGCAGGCGGCGGCCCTAGGCCGAGACAGCCGGGCCGCCGGGCAGGAAGCCGCGCACTCCGCGCGGGTTGACCGGAGACGCGTACTCACCAAGGGGCTCATGCGGAGGAAGAAACGGAGGTCTCCGCCGGACCGCCACTCGGCCTCGGAGCCGTCGCCCTCGCCGCCAACTGCCACCGCTGCCGCCACCGTCGCCACTCGCTAACTGGCTTCCCTGCGTCCTGCGGCGGCTCTGCCGCCACTCGGGCGCGCGTGCGCGGCGCCGCGGGGGCCCCTGGGATCGGTAGTCAGGCCCGGGCCGGAGGCTCCGCTTCCGCCTGCAGCAGCCGGGTCTGCTGCTGGCTGCAGCGCTCGTGGGCGTCTGGGTCCGGAATCGCCTTCCGGAAAGTCGTTCTCGAGACATGAGGCCGTCGCTTCCGCGTACAGTAACGCTGCACCTGAAAAGTCCGCCCGAGCACGCATGTGTGAAGTCAGAGCCGAGAGCGCTTACGTTTTCTGTAACAACTCTTACTTGCCCGAGACATTATCGGAATGACTCGCACACACGCAAACCTTCCCTCCCTTTCTGTTAAACGTGTCGTTAAGTGGTTTGTGTGATATGCAGGGTTTCAGTAGTAAACGTGGTTTCCCCACGTCTCATCTTATCAAACTTCGTTTGTTGTAAACTTGACCATAACAAGTGTCAGTTGTCAATTTATCTAATTTTTTTTTTCAAAATAGCTCATATAGTCAGAGATCAAGTTAGCCGAGTCGAACAGTCATAGAAACCTTAGAACTGAAAGACAACTTAAAAGTCATTAGTGGAACTCCTGCCCAGGCAGAAATTCCCTCTTGTACCTTCGGCCAGATGGTCATCTTAACATCAACAGTTCAAATTTCGGGGAGCTCACTACCTTATGCAGCACGGCCTGCTCCACTGTTGGACAACGCTGAACGTTAGAAAGTTTTGCCTCCTGCTGGGCTGAAATCTGCTTCCCTTTTACTTCCTTCTATTGCTAATGGTTATGTTGCCTGGAGCGATACAGAATGTCTTACTCTTGACAGCCATTCAAAAAACTGAAAATGGGGGCCGGCCCGGGGCCGGCCCGGCCCGTGGCTCACTCGGTAGAGTGCGGTGCTGATAACACCAAGACCACGGGTTCAGATCCCATATAGGGATGGCCGGTTCGCTCACTGGCTGAGCGTGGTGCTGACAACACCAAGTCAAGGGTTAAGATCCCCTTACCGGTCATCTTTTGAAAAAAAAAAAAAAAAAAGGGAGAGGGCGGTGCTGAAAAAAAAAAAAAAAAAAAAAAAAAAAAAAAAAAAAAAAAAAAAAAAAAAAA